GCATTTGGTGAGCAGGAATTTTTCCATTTGTTTGCTACTCTGACACATTTATACATGTTGTCCATTTATGCATTCATACTATTTATTTCTTCAATCTATGCTGTTCTGACAAACAGTAGTTTTAACGTTCTGTTTTTTTTTCGGTATTCTGAGAATTGTCTTGATTGGATTTAGAAAAAAAAGTCTTTTAAATTTTATTGTAGATTGAAGTTAAACGTCACAGTATTCATATTTATATGAATGTGCAATTAAAAGGATTTTAATTGCATAATATAGAAAAACTGTTCCTTAGGAAGACTCTTTCTATATAGAAAAACTCTTCCTTAGGAAGACTCTTTTTATATAGAAAAAGTCTTCCTTAGGAAGACTCTTTTTATATAGAAAAAGTCTTCCTTAGGAAGACTCTTTTTATATAGAAAAAGTCTTCCTTAGGAAGACTCTTTTTATATAGAAAAAGTCTTCCTTAGGAAGACTCTTTTTATATAGAAAAAGTCTTCCTTAGGAAGACTCTTTTATATAGAAAAAGTCTTCCTTAGGAAGACTCTTTTTATATAGAAAAAGTCTTCCTTAGGAAGACACTTTTTATATAGAAAAAGTCTTCCTTAGGAAGACACTTTTTATATACATAGAAAAAGTCTTCCTTAGGAAGATTTTTTTTATATAGAAAATGTCTTCCTTAGGAAGACTCTTTTTATATAGAAAAAGTCTTCCTTAGGAAGACTCTTTTTATATAGAAAAAGTCTTCCTTAGGAAGACTCTTTTTATATAGAAAAAGTCTTCCTTAGGAAGACTCTTTTTATATAGAAAAAAGTCTTCTTTAGGAAGACTCTTTTTATATAGAAAAAAGTCTTCTTTAGGAAGACTCTTTTTATATAGAAAAAGTCTTCCTTAGGAAGACTCTTTTAATATAGAAAAAATTCTTCCTTAGGAAGACTATTTTAATATAGAAAAAGTCTTCCTTAGGAAGACTCTTTTAATATAGAAAAACTGTTCCTTAGGAAGACTCTTTTTATATAGAAAAAATCTTCCTTAGGAAGACTTTTTTAATATAAAAAAAGTCTTCTTTAGGAAGACTCTTTTTGTATAGAAAAAATCTTCCTTGGAAAGACTCTTTTAATATAGAAAAACTCTTCCTTAGGAAGACTCTTTTTATATAGAAGACTCTTTTTATATAGAAAAAAGTATTCCTTAGGAAAACTCTTTTTATATAGAAAAAGTCTTCCGTAGGAAGACTCTTTTGAATAGAAAAAGTCTTCCTTAGGAAGACTCTTTTAAATAGAAAAAGTCTTCCTTAGGAAGACTCTTTTCAATATAGAAAAAGTCTTTCTTAGGAAGATTCTTTTCATATAGAAAAAGTCTTCCTTAGGAAAACTCTTTTCATATGGAAAAAAATCTCTATTTTTTAGGATATGAGCGTTCGAACCTTTTACTCTCGTAATAACCATCAAACCACAGTGTGAGTTCGCTGGAAATACTTATGTATTACTTATTCTACAAACATGTATGAATAAGTGCTTTTGTTGGGTGTATGTATGTGATGTGTCCGTGTTGTTTTTCAAATTATATCAAACATTTTTCATATTGATAGATAAATGTCGTGCTAGTTAAGCTGCATAAGCATATAGAAATTATTTGCTGTTTTTTGGTTATACGAATTGCTGTAAAGGAAATCGTACGAATATGAAGATGGAAAACATCAAAAAAAAAAAAAAAAACTTTTAACAAATGTTTATGTGGTAACACAGTTGGAAATTTTCCTCGGTATTATAATAGTTCGAGCATTCGTATACAGTGATAAAAGAAAGTTTTTGCAAAAATTTTACAACTACAGCATGCTTATGAGTTTGCTGAAAATAGCAATATATATTTTCATAAACTATTCTTAGAACTTTATTTATATATAAATGAAAGCCTGTAAGTGTAAGTTTAACTTGTAATAAAAATTGTATATTGAAAAAATGGCCAACTATAGGCGAATTGTAAGTTATGATAGTTTTCACAGTAGGTTTTTTGCTATAATTATTTGTGAGTGGCGAAAGTTTTTTAATAAAATACATATTTTTTTTGTTTGAAGTTATAAGTTGAAAAGTTAATGTAAGTTTGGGTGAACAGGAAATATAATAATATGGTTGATGGTAGCTACTAAAGGAAAAGTTATGATAATATTTTCAATCATTTATGCTGGATTAAGGAGTCTTGTTGTTCTTAAATTTTATTATATGCTTTAAGAAGATTTTAGAACACTAGACATTAACCTATTGGGGGTACTAAATCTATGGACTAGTATATAAACTATTCTATTATCTTAAGCATAAACTAGTCCATAGAATACTCTAGCGATTAAGCTTTTGATTAGGCTGTTAACTAGTGTATTGTCTATAGTTAACTAGTATGTGAACTAATCCGGATTTTTTTATAGATTAATCCCTATAATTGTCTAGTTATTTTGCTATTTACTGCTAGTCGGGGTAATGAAGACATAAATAATTTATTACATGATTAATTCAAATTACTTATAATATGTAATTGAGCAATAACCAATTACAATTAGTTCTAATTGTAATTGTAGACAAATGTAGTTACTACAAGTGGACGACATGCCACGCCTACATACAAAATAACTATTAAAAGTCGTATATCTCAGAAAGCTAGCAAGAGCTAGAGTCCTAAAATTATGTATGTATGTATGACACCTTCCATATAAAAAAATCTTAAATTAATATATCTGTGAAAATATAACAGCCAGAATCCTCATTTTTTCGGAGGCACTTTAGTATGAACAGCAATGTTTAGGACAAAAACGTAGCGAACCAGCAATAGAGGCGTGGCACCTCTCATATGAATTAAATACCTAAAATCGTTTATCTGGGAAACTATTGGATTTAAAATATAAAATTTTTGCACAAAGACCTTTATCTTCTGTATGAATATTTAGCAGAAAAATGGGCGGACTTTCATAAGGGATCATAGGAAGACTCTTGCTACAGAATACTCCTTTGATATAGAAAAAGTCTTCCTAAGGAAGGCTCTTATTATAAAGATAATGACTTCCAATGGAAGGCTCTTATTATATAGAAAAATTTTTCCTAAGGAAAGCTCTTATTATATAGATGTCTTACTAAGGAAGGCCCTTATTATATAAGGCTCTTATTATATAGATAATGTCTTACTAAGGAAGGCTCTTTTTATATAGAAAAAAGTGTGTTAAAGAGGACTCTTTTTATATAGAAATAGTCTTCCTTATGAAGAATCTTATTATAGTAAATGACTTGCTAAGGAAGGCTCCTTTGATTTATAAAAAGTCTTGCTAAGGAAGACTCTATTTATGTAGAAAAAGTCTTCCTAAGGAAGGTTCTTATTATATAGATAATGACTTCCAAACGAAGACTCTTGTTATATAGAAAAATTCTTATTCTTAGGAAGGCTCTTATTATATAGATAATGTCTTATTAAGGAAGGCTTTTTTTATATAGAAAAAAGCGTGGTACCTCCCATATAAGTTAAATACAAAAATTCGTTTATCTAGGAAACTATTGAAGCTAGAATCTTGAAATTTTGTACGAAGAACTTTAACATCCATGTGAACATTTGAGAGAAAAAAGGTCGGACTTTTATTAGGGAGGCTTTACACTTCACATATGAATTAAGTATAAAAATTCGTGTATCTGGAAAACTATTAGAGCTAGAATCTGCAAATTTTGCACGAAAAACTCTGACATCTATACGAACATTTGGGTAATAAATTGGCAGATCTCAAATAGGGGCTTGGCTCCACCCATTAAATACAAAAATTCATATATCTGGAAAACTGTTAGAGCTAGTAATGTATATTTTTATTTATATTGATTTCAGGGCAGCAAAGCACACTGGGTATAGCTTGTAATTTATAAACTATATTCCATTAACTGATCAATTAAAAATTTTGTTACCGTAATAATTGACGATTCACTTAGTGAGCCTTTACAACTGTTCTTTTTAAATATATAAAAATATATGAGAACCTCCCTAATGTTTACACTTCTACATACACCTAGTTGAAAATGTCCACAACATGTTTATATCCGAATGTTTGTTCCTATGTACATGTAAATGTAAAGATTTAAATAAAATTGTTAAGGAATATATCTCTAAAACATATTTCCTTAACAAGTGCAAGAGATTTTACCAGTAAAGTGGAATGAATGTTTAAGTGCAAATGTTTTTTTCTTGCTTTATCCTATAAATGTCCTCAAGTTGTGTGATTACATATACATACAAATACAAACATTTAAATAAAATATACATTCTTATGGTATGGGTAAAGGTCATATTAAAAATGTTCTAATAGATGTTGACTATTTTTTCTAATTTGTGTCTCTTATTTAGCTTACTATTCCAAAGAACTATTGATAAAAGTTTTCTAGAGGAATATAGAAAACATGGAAAAACTAAAAACTAAATAAAACAACTACTTACTTTTATAGTATGAACATAGATTAAGTTAATTTAAAAGTAATCGCATGTTAATTGGTATGATAGTTACCAGTACACTTGGTAGAGAAAATAAAATCCTAAATGACACAATAATAACAACAACAGCAACAACTAAAGTATAAAAGTACAAAGTAAAAGGAAATCAAAAGGACAAACTACTTTAGTCTATACTAATACGATTTTGTAAAATGGATCATATTTCTATATATTTACTAGTATGAGTGTGGGAGAGAGTAAAGGAGAATACTTTTTTTTTTTAAAGAGAATTTACCATACACACACACATTAAAACCTAATTTAAGGGATAAATGCATGTGACCATATGTTTAGCTGTAGGTAAATAACTATAATGAAACCTTAATTTACTAAAAATGTCTCTTTTTAAAAGTATTTTTATCCATTACTCTTTACACATGCTAGCTAATATATGAAAATGAGGAGGAAAAAAAGGATTTGTTACTTGATTAGTAGTGATAGTAAATATGGATGGATTATTTACTATAAGCATGGCCTTTGGTTATACATACATTTCATACCTTGGGTAGTCGGTGTTTATGCCAACTAACGCCTCTGCTGCTTCTTCGTTGCATCCTGATGAGATCTGTTCCCGATTCGCAATGGAAGGTGTTTTCATCGAGCCAGGAATTGAGAGAGTGGATGCTGGTTTGCGGAGCTACAAACAAAGAAATTTTATAAAAAATTATTAATGTTTTTGTTTATAACTTTTTTTATGAAAACTACTTGTTAAACTACTTTTTTCTTTGCTTTTTAATTATTTACAAAAGTGTTTGTTAAATAATTTTTAGAAAACAAAAAATTATTTAAATATATTTTTTATTAACTTCTACTGTGTGTTAGTATTAATTTAAAACTAAATTAAACAGAAATTGTGCATTAATAAAATAGTTTTGTTTTTTTGTTTTTATAATTTTTTCTGTAAATCAATGAGTAATTTAACAAATATATGTTTAATGGAAAATTGCAGTTGCAATGGTTTTTTCTGTATTTTATATACAATTTGTTTTTTCATAAATTAAAGTGCCAATCAAATACCATACATAAATTAAATAAATTGTTTAAAATGCTGGAATAATTGAGTTTAAAATAGTTTTGATTTTTAAATATTTGATAATTTTTGTTTAACAGATCAAAGGTTTATTTATCGTTGTATAAAAAGTGTGAGAAATATGGAAGCAAAAAATAAAACTTGAAATAATTACTTTGTAAGTAATCATATTTTCATCACTTAAATGCATCTGGAAGTTTAGTAAGAACGTTTAAAAAGTTCAAAAATTTATGTTTATTGAAATGAAATTTTTGTTTATATTATAAATCTGTTATTTTAAACAAATCAGTTGCATTATTAATCATGCTATTTTTACTACATCTGGAGGCATATTATGAAATTCCAAAGAGATCTAAATCTCCATTGAAGCTTCTTTGGATATTTTATAACAACTGCCAATAGAAACATGAAACTATAGACCAAGATAATACCTATCAGAAAACTAGTATCACTTCCCAGGTACATATTTATATTTTAGTTTCCCACCGTGTCTTACTTTTTTCCTCACTTTAGTGTTATTGCAATCCCTAAGAATAGACATGGTAGCAATAAAACGGGTCAACCGGGATCTCTACTCTCTATAACTCTAACTGCTCTAACAGTTTCCTAGATATACAAATTTTTATATTTAATTCATATGGGAGGTGTCAAGCCCCTATTAAAAGTCCGTCAAATTATTACCCAAATGTTCATATGAGTTCCAAAGTTCTTCGTGCAGAATTTAAGATTCTAGCTCTAATAGTTTCACAGATAAACGAATTTTTGTACTTACATATGGAGGTGACAGACGCCCCCTCCCTAATAAAAGTTTTTCGTACAAGTAATTAATTCGATTTTAGCTCCAATAGTTTCATAGATAAACGAATTTTTTAATTTTATTTATATGGGAATTATCACGTCACTAAACTCTAGTCCGCCAATTTATTACACAAATGTTCACATGGATGTCATAGTAGTTCTCAGATATACGAATTTTTGTATTCAATCCGTATGGGAGGTGCCAAGACCCCTTTATGAAAGTCCGCCCACTTTTCTCCTAAATATTCTAATGGATGCTAAAGGTCTTTAGCTCTTACTATCTACAATAGTTTCCCAGATAAATGAATTTTAGTATTTGATTCATATGGTAGGTGACCACCTATTCTATTCATTTTTTGTCCGAAACATTCATGTTGATGTCTACGAAAAAATGAGGACTCTAGCTGTTATATTTTCTCAAATATGTATATTAATTTTATATTTTTTATATGGGAGGTGCCACGCCCACTATAGCTATGTGTTTATAAGTATGTCAAAGTTTTCCATACTTATATGTACCATTCTCACGCCACACGGGGCATGTTTCCTTGATCAAAGACCCTCATCTTGGTGTATTGCAATCCTGGGGTAAAGAGGTGCTAATATAAACTGGTAATGTCAATTCACTCCTCGGGCTTTCCTTGGAACGATTTGACATGGAGTCGAACCAGAGAACCACATAATCTGGTACTACGGGTGTACAGTTGACGGCAGGTCTTGTCCTGGCTGGTCAGTGGATTGAGGTTCCTTCGTGATCTACATAGTGGCTGTAGTTGGTTTAAACCCAAATTCGCGGGAAGAGAAAGTGGCAGTTAAAAGATTGATGCACGGTGAAATCCATAATTCGGGATAAGTTCGATGCTGTTGCCGAATAACAACAGATCCCCCACAGAGAAGTGACAGTGGGACTAAGCGTTGGAAATGAGGGGTATACAGATCTCATCCGTCCGTATACGTATAGTGAGTCTGTCGTATGTTGTTCTCTTATGAATGTGCCGGATGAATGAGAAGTGTGCAGCGTTGAATGCAGATGGATGAAAGGTATATTATACAAGTGATACTATTGAATTTTCCTTCCTTATTCAGGTATGTTCAGTCAAAACTCTGTTCACATGTGGAAAAGAACAAAGTCTTCATATTATTTGATGGATTCGTACATCGGTCTACCGGTTATGTCTCTAGTTGCTGTTGCCGACTCAACAGAGGTCATTTCATCTGCGTGATTTTAAACGGAAGTGATGTTTTTGCATCTCGGAAGTTATGCAACGGGGCAGTAATGGTCAGCGATTGGAGAGCTCAATTACTTAAGCAAAGTGCTTGTACATGGACCGGCACAGCCATGTACAAAAAATAGCCACCGGTGTGTAAGATACACATGGATTTTATTATGAATTTCAATAAGGCATTTACTATCTTACATTTCTAAAATTATAATTATAATTAATATTTTTGATACATACACAGAGGGAAAAGGAAATATACACGCCTGGTACCAAAGAGTTTATAATTATTAAATAACATCCGTTGTCAAAGTATATACGTACGTACGACAACACTATGTAATGTAGATGACGTTGTCGAAATCTAAATTTTATACACATCCGTTGTCTAAATGTTAACACACATGGTAAGCTCACTATTGGCAATGCATTGTTTGTCAACAGTGAGCGTTTGTTAACATTTTGACAACGGGTGTGTATAAAATTTAGATTTCGACAACGAATTGTTGCAATGTTGTCAACATTACATAGTGTTGTCGTACGTATGTATATACTTTGACAACGGATGGTATTGAAAAATTATAAACAATTTGGTACGAGGCGTGTATATTTCTTTTTCCCTCTGTGTAAGGATTTGTAATAAAAAACTTATGTTTAATCAACAATTTGACTTTAATTACAATTTCCCCCCTCCTAAATAAAACCACTTATTTAATATAGAAGACAATTATATATAAAAAAATATTATTATCATTTATATTTTTTATAACATTCATAATTGAGATTAAGATATAAATCCCTCACCCACCCATAAATGGGTGGAAAAAAATAAAAAGCAAAATATAAACCTAAACTCAATTAAAATTTAAGCATAAAAAATAACATAGATCAGGCTATAAAAAGTGAAAAAAATATGAATTAAATGATAATTATATTTGAAATAAAATTGTCGAAAACATCATGAGCTTTTAAACTCGCATATGCAAAGTAAGTTTTTTTTTTTTCAAGTTTTATGGTTATGAATTAAATAAAAAAAAACGAAATAAACTTCTGCACCCGTAATAGGAGTAATAAGTAGTAAATAGAAACTACACAGTGATTAAATGTATTTAGTTAAAGTTTAATGGGTTCGTTTACTTATTTATCTTTATTTCGAATTTTTTCTTTCTTTTCTTTTCTTTTCTTTTCTTTCCTTTCCTTTCTACCAAATACATATAATATACCATTATTTTTTCTTGTTGGTGGTAGTTTTGCTTTTTTTTTTTAAAGTGTCCCAGGAAAAAAAATCACAATATAAAAAAGAAGACATAAAAAAGTCAGCACAAGTAATTTATTCATTTCTAAGCCAAAGTGGACAGTTATGTGGGGTGTTAGTAAGTAAGCAAAACTTACATACACTTATACACATACATACGTATTGTTATAAAATTGCTTAATTTTTTGTTGCTTTTTATAAGCTAAAGGATACGCGACATTGTAATAGAAATAAAAAAGCACTAAATACAAATGAACAACGGAAAATCCCTGGTAGTGTTAAGGAAACACCGCTAATGGGGAATGTCAAGAATTTGAATAAATTAAATGTTATTTTCATTTATTCTTAGGTTTTTTTAGATTTTGTTTTTTGTGTTTTATTTTCGTTTAATGTGTATGAGTTTAATCACATTTGTTTTTGTATGCATGTATGTTTTTAAGGAAATATATGTGCGTGTGTATGTTTAAATGTATGGGTGTTAAAAAAGGAAGACAAATTAACATTCCTTTAAGCAATGTTTGCTAGATTTTGGCACTTTCAGTTACGACCTAAGTATAAATTGAACTGTTTAAAAAGGGGGATTACAGAGGAAGTGTTAGATATCATCGTTTGTAAGCGATGTATTTAGTTTAGGTTCGCCTATTGGCTCGCAAATGAACTGCAACAGTCGGACGCCAGTTGCCTTCGTGAGATACCCTACATTTGAGTGATCTTTATATTCCTAAAGACATCTTCTTTCAAAATTTATTAAAATTGTTATTAACAGAGTTCAAGGGGACAACTAACTAACTAACTAACTAACTAACTAACTAACTAACTAACTAACTAACTAACTAACTAACTAACTAACTAACTAACTAACTAACACTAACTACTAACTAACTAACTAACTAACTAACTACTAACTAACTAACTAACTAACTAACTAACTAACTAACTAACTAACTAACTAACTAACTAACTAACTAACTAACTAACTAACTAACTAACTAACTAACTAACTAACTAACTAACTAACTACTAACTAACTAACTAACTAACTAACTAACTAACTAACTAACTAACTAACTAACTAACTAACTAACTAACTAACTAACTAACTAACTAACTAACTAACTAACTAACTAACTAACTAACTAACTAACTACTAACTAACTAACTAACTAACTAACTAACTAACTAACTAACTAACTAACTAACTACTAACTAACTAACTAACTAACTAACTAACTAACTAACTAACTAACTAACTAACTAACTAACTAACTAACTAACTAACTACTACTAACTAACTACTAACTAACTAACTAACTAACTAACTAACTAACTAACTA